CAAAATGATTACCTAGGGGCAATTAGCATAGTGGTAAGGCGTCATTTTGAAATTGTCAGATCGTGTATTCGATCCCATGCCAAAGCAATGATAGCGTGTGAGGATGAGCTCTCACTTGACCTCTAGCTTCAGGTCTACCACAACCTGACCAAATTTGGCTGCAATTGTGGTAACACGTGAAAGTTCTAGACGCAAAAACACGGCCTTGAGTCGCAAAAAAAGGAGCTTCGCTCAACAAAATAACACAGTCAGGAATGTGGGGAGATAATACAAATGGCCTATCCTCGACAGGACTGTTAAGGCCTACTGATAGATCCTCTGCGATTCGCAGTAACTACAAAAAAAGAGGAAATTAAAGCAAAGACTTCACCACTGAAAAAATCGTAACTAATGGGTTATTTAAAATCGTGGATGTATCATTTAGCATTTGGGATACACTTCCTCAGCAAGCTGTTTCTGAGATCCTAATTTGCTAAACAGATTCCAACAAATCACCGAATAATCAAAACAATTGCATTAGAACAATGGGTTTTCGTTCTTTAACGAATAAAAAAATACGTATTTGGAATTATAACTATATATAACCAGTTGGGGAGGGCAGTATTTGAGATAAAGAGATGAGAGTGAATTTAACGAGGGCAGTATTTGAGATGAGCGGACTTTTAATCGGTATATTTAAGTAGCATTGACCGCGCATATAAAACTCTCCATTTCAAAGTGTTCCGGACCCAATATCTCAATTGAAAAACTATGCTGCATTATCAGCATATAAGACATCAGCACAAAAGACAACTCTTGATTCGGTTTGGAATTGGATTAGAAACTCGCACTTAGTCAAAAGTTATTACGATTAATGAAATTTAATTATGAAGCAGTATAAAACTGATGATTTAGTTCACTCCAGTCGCTTGAGTTTTTATCCAATCTCAAGTACTTCATTCTATTCTTTATTTGGGAATGAAAAAAGTGACTTCACGAGGTGACTCCAAGCCTGGGAGGAAATGAGATCGAAAGGTTAAGGGAGAAGGTAAACGAACTGTTGGCAATAAGAATGACTGTTGGCAGTAAATGAGATTGAACTCACTGTGGACTCGCAAATATTGGGAAAAATATAATTAATTTAAATGCGTAGCTATATATGTTGCTGGAATCCTCAAACGAATGCAGATTCCTCTAGCAGATTCCGATTAGAGTTGCAAATCCGCAACAGTGCAATTTTAATAAACACATATTTTAGTATTTGTTGACGGATTCCACGAACTATTTCTGACCAAAATTTTCCACGAACTATTTTCTGGCAAATTTTTGAAAAACCAAGTTTTTGACGGTCTACTAATATATCTGTTTAACGACGTGAAAAAGAAACTAAAAACCTTTCTAAATCAAAATTAAAAAGCAAGTATAATTATCAAACAAATTTACTGTATTTACTAAATGGGTTGTCATTTTAAAATTTTTTCATTTCGGTTTGGCATCTTTGTTGTTTAAACAGCAGGAACTTTTTTTCAGGACTAAAAAACGTCTTTAAAAAGTTTCGCTTGAAAAATGGAACTAACAATGTCTTTAGATGGAACAGTTTCTAGTTTCGATTGGACTAGATCTTTTGTCAAATTTTAGATTTAACCATTCAGCTCAGCAAAAATTACAGATTTACCCATTCAGCTCAGCAAAAATTAAGAAAGAAATCGTGCCCTATATTTCATGGACAAAACGTGAATATTTTTACCATGACTATAGCTGTGATTAATTTTTCAGTTGTTAACCAAAAAATCTGTCTACTGCTCTTGATCTAGTTTTTTTTCCTGACTTGACGTAGTTTGACTCCATTCCTCAATAATTCAAAACAGCTATATTCAAAAACCTACATTTTGATTTTTGTAAGTGAGATAAATTTTTTTAGAAGCAGTTGAAAATAATGTTGAAAAACAAAAACCTAATTTCTGAAATTACTCCAACTAATTTTTTTTTTACCATCAGACTACCATTTTTGATAAAATCCAAGTAGAGTTTTAACATAATAAATTTAGTGATTAAAAATTCTCGCGTGCACGTTTACTTACAGCATATTTTGAAAAATTGTCTTTTTTCCGGTTTACTTAATTTGAAAAAATAAATAGTTCAAAAATTTAGCAAAGGGCGTTAATATCAGTGAAGAGACGAATGTGAAATTTGTAGACACAGGCAAAAAAAAATTCCGATTTTGCTTTGAAAATCTTCGTTTGCGCACGCTATGACATTTTCTTCATCAAGTACTGCAGTAAGGACTACAAAACCTCAATTTAATTATCCTCAAACTGGCAATGTTAACAAAAACCCCCATTATTTAACAACCATTGATTGAAGAAGTGATCGAAGAAGTGATCATTCTTTTTATTTTTCAGATAAAGATCCTGAATAAAGATTTGGAACACAAAACAGGCAACTTAGCTTGGCAAAAATCGTAGCGTAAAAAATGTTTCAACTTTCAAAAATGCCCCAATACATACAAAACTTACAATTCATTTCTTTTTTCAACACAATAAATATTATTCCGACAATTGAAAATGGGGTAGAAATTTTGTATTCGGGTGTTTTAGTTTTTTTTCGATTTTTTTGCTTTCAACGCAAAATCAGAAAACACAAACAAACAGCGGGCTGGGTGGAGTGATATACCATCTTGAAGCTCAATCAGTCGTAATTCGAACAAGTTTTTTGTACTTTGAATAACTAGTTCGTTATTTATGGAAAATACCAATTTAGGCTGAAAAAAGTTTTTTGCTTTTAACAAAAGAAAAACTAAAAAAAAAATTTCAAAATTGTTTTTTTTTGTTTTTTGTTTATTAATTTTTTAAAAGCAATTGTAGTCGTTTACACTTAATTCACTAAATGTATACGCGTTTTTATAGTTTTATAGGTCTAATTTTTGAAAATGTTTCGGCAAACTTTGAGTTTTCGCGGAAAAACTGTTTGGGCTTCAAGTATGGTATTAAATTAGAAGTTTTAAATGGGCTTCGAGAGCAACTGGCGTGACTGCTTCGTTTTTCAGACTAAAAGTAAAATTTTTTGTTAGTTTGACCTCTCACGACGTTACCAAATTAGGGATTCATTTTTACATGATTTTAGTTTAAAAAATTGTGAGGTTTTTGTAGCTATATTAGCTTTCATTTTTGCAGTTTTTTCTAGTTCAGTCACCCTTTGCTGAGAACATAGCGAAAAAAACTTGGAAAGTTATGAAAACATTTTCAAGCAAAAGGTCTTCCAAAAATTTACTTTTCTCGGCTTGTCTCGATAGAAACTGAATCCAGGCAAAAAATTTGAATTCTAAATTAGCAACGGAACAAAACTTACAAAGAGTCAACAAAGTCGGCAATCTTTGCGCAGAAACAAGTTGATACATAAAAAAAAAGATTATATAAAATATTTTTCAAGTTTTAAGTCCCACCTGCAACTACAAACAGAGGCAAATCGAAGTTTCGCAACACGTACGATGCAAAAAAAATTCTGAAAAATGAAATTGACATTTTTTTTTAAATTTCTGAAAATAAGTTAAGAAAAAAAATAAAAAAATTAAAAAGAACGATGTTCATGAGCAATGAAGTTCATGGAAAGAACTGAAACTCAGTTACTCATTGTCAACAAACTTTTGGTCGAAACCTGTTTGAGACGAAAACCAAAAAACTGTTGTCGTAAAAAATTTCATTAAGTTTCGCAAATTTTTACAACCCATCCAATCTGAAACACATAATCGAATGCAAAACAATTTGCCCTCAAAATTATGCAAAAAAATTGACCGACGCGATAAAACATGAATTGGAACTGAATATTTATGAAAGAAACAAAAAAATAAAAAAAACCCAATATCAGACTTCGTAAATTTATTAACTATTGAGCTTTCAGTTGTAGCCAAAACTGTTCAAAATGAAAAAACACATATGCTCTGAAAAAGAAGACAAAAAAACCCTATGTTAAAAATTCCGTTTAAGGAAAACGGAAAGTGAACCGACAGAAACTCGTACAAAAACCACAAACCCGAAAAACATTGAAATTTTTTTTCATTAATTTAAACCTGACATACGGGCTTTACCTAATTATTACTTAAACTATAAAAAATTTTAATTGAACTTACAAGAAATTGAGCATGTCAGAAGATGGAGGAGTCCGGAGATATGAAATTCTGTGAACAAAAATATTTACGGGGAAATTCGACGAAAAATTTGGGATTGTTTATTATCAAATCAGTTCGATCGGAATATTCTTCTTCAACCTTTGCAATCATCTCATGTTTCCAAGATATCTGATTTTGTCCAGTACAAGGGGAAGAAGCCCTCTAACTGTCAAACCAAGCTTAAAAACAGCCTTTCGAAATTGTTGAAAGTTTCTCTCGGAATTTTCTCGTCAAAAATGAAACAAATAAAAAAACTGTGTTTTGAAAAATGAATACCTTCTACGTGAATTGAAAATCAGTCCGCGTACATTCAAGTTTTCCAGTTGACGGCCCTACACACTTGTGTTACTGACATTTAAAAGCTGCAAAAAGGAGCTACAAAAAGCAAAAAAATAGAGCAAGTAGTACCTTGGAATGTAATTAGGCAACCACACTATAGTTTTGCATCTGATCAAGTGGGAATTATAAAGCAAAATGGTGTATAAATTATGCATTTCAAAAATATTGCAAAAAATAGTTAGTTGGAAAAATTCGTGGTTTTGATTTTTTTGTTTAAAGAAACAAATAGCTTTCTTCGGTTCCTTTGATGAATCAAAAATACATCAACTGTGTTAAATTATTAAGAATCTAATGTTAACGAACATGCTATTAAATAGCCAATGCAGCATCCTGCTTCAAAAGTGCCACCATAAGTAGCACTTATAGTAGCCACTAAAGTTGGAATAAAGTAGCCTTGTAGTATCCGATAACTTACTCTTTTCATTTTCGCTATCCGCAAAGTATCTATCATTTTACTGGAATTTGATCAACATCAATTGACTTATTGATTTGAAAATGGTCAAAAGATGCATATTATATTCACACAATTTACATTCGAACAATTTACATTCGAATAAACTATTTACAAGTATACAGTTGGATATTATGATCTCAAAATAAGGCTAGGTCTGCTAATCATAAAGCTAGGTAACTTATGATACATCAAACATTTAAAGGAGATAGCACAACGGTGAAAATTGTGATAAAGTTAAAAAAAAATTGCACGGAATAGAAGCCTTTTTTACATTTATCAACGACAAAGTTTTTGGCCTCTCGCTTTGAAACAAGTTTTTCCTAGCTTTATCTTCATGTTCTGTCCAGTAGATCTAGCAAATCATCTCCCTTGCTCTGACCTTTATTCTTATTATCTTCTAGCGTCATTTCGGCAGCAATCGAATCTAATTTTGAGCTGCGTACCTAAAAGAGAAACTAACTAAAGCTATTTTGAATGAAAGTGTTTTGAATTTCATTTTGTTCCAAATTTAGGGTTTCAATCACGCAAAAAGGTAACATAAAAACAACTACTATTGGACGAGAGACTGAATCTCTTTCTTTTTAATTTTACTGTGCACTTTAAGCTATTCAAGTAATTAATACTTCGTTCTTGCAGCTGATTAGATCAGCCAATACCCTACCACTACATAAAAAACAACGAACATTCAAAAAAATTGTCCTTTTTTCAGACCCCGCGAATTTACACAGCACCCGAAATTGGTATGATACAACACGCCAATCATTGTTTTCCACTAATTTTCCTCGTTTTTTGCTTCTTAAGCTCAACGACGTAATGAAATTTCTAGTTATTTGTTCATAGATATTAATGAATGGTATCATAATTGTGCGCACGTACAGCTAAAAACCGGTCCAATTCTAGCCGGTGTTACCTTGTTCACTTGCAGTCTCTGTGCACTGTGAGAGGCAACCGAAGAGGAGGCTGCACTCAGATCAGAGGCCGACGGCAGAGCAGTCCCCCCAGAGCTACACGTGGAGGAAACATGGCAATAATAATTATCTTACGCCAACATTCAAACTATTGAAAGTTCAACTTTAACTTGCGTTTTAAGAAAAATGATTAGGGGTAATGGGATGATAAGGTCAATCAAAAACGGCCGAAATAATGAACGATGCCCAGGAAAAATAATGATTGACATCTCGTGTTTTAATATTCGCACTCTTCACTTGTTTTTAGTCCTACTCCCAGAAAACTCCAAGTCAATGGTATTTAGGTTATCATCAGGTGCATGTACAGTTTTCCACTTGACTAGAACACATTCATACCTGCTGCTATCTTTTCCAAACAGGTCCAGCTGGAATGTGAACCCTCCCGACTGCTTGCCACTCCCTCCCTCTCCCCCACCCATGTGTCCGAGGAGTGCGTTGAGCATGTCTAGCTCCTTGGCTGCACTCTCATCCACCCCCATCTGGTCCAGCTCACTGCTCATCACTGTCTTCAAAGGGGGTCTCTTCACTCCCAGGCGATCCACCCCACTCCCATCTGTACAGAACAAGCAATAAATGAACTTGAAAATACCCTAAAACCGTTTTTGTTATGGCTACAAATTGCTTTAACTGAAAAAAAATGGTATCAACTATTTTCCTTTCGGCAAAGCTTCGGAAATCGCAAACAAGTGATGTTAATTTTGTCACGTCATCATAAATTTTAAATACGATTATGTGTATAGATGTTAAGATAACTTCGAAAATATTTCGTATATATGATGGTATTTCGTTATTTCGTATATACGATTTGCGCTGAGTAAAAGCTTAAGCGAGCTTATTTTGAAGATTCTGCCAACAAATAACCTTGTTTGATTTGTGGCGAATTATCCACAGACACGCCGCCTTCTGTTCCCTTTTCGTCCTCGTACATGTTGCGGCCCAGGATGATGACTCTGTCGCCATAGATGCCATAGCTGGGCTCCTTGTAGATCTTCACTGTCTGGATGTCCTTCGGGAACTGTCTAGACCGAGACCAACTGCCGTCTTTCCTGAACAGAAACAAACACACCAAGTCACAACAATAAATCATAAGATCAGAAACATAATTAGGAACGCCTTTAAAGCCTAACACACATGGAGCCTAACACACAGACACATCATTAACATATTTAGTAAAGAATATCATCGACTCCATTTTCTAACGATTCCTCTCTTTCAAACTAGCTGTCAATATTTATGCTTGAAGTGCTCTATCATTCTATTGTGGGTAACAGCAACCATAAGAGAAGACACCAATTCTGCGTCAGATGATTTCTATTTGAATCAAAAAGGACTTCTACTAACAATTTTCAACTTCAAACAATTCACAAATTCGAATAGGCCAACGTGATTTAGCATAAGCGAAAAAAATAACTATGGTTTTCGACCACGACCAGTGAAAAAGGGAAAGTTCCCGTATTTGGTAGCTCGTTTAAAATCAATTTACTTACTTGAACATTTTGATACCGCCTGGTTGTTCTATACCCTGAGGCGGGATGCTAACCAGTTTGGACTGGATAAACCTGCCAGTCTGGGTCTGGACCTTGTCGCGGAGGAAGACGGACACCCTGACGTGCACGTCCTGGAAAAAGGTGAGCAGAGTGCAACGCACTCTCTGGAACTCCCCCGAGGTCATACTGCCGAACATCTAAAACATACATAGACAGTCTGTCAGTTAAGAAAGAAAAATACCCTTGAGTCAAAGGAATATTGTTGCCTACAAAAATCAAGTTATTAAAACTGAAGCAATGGACGATAACGACTTACGTTTTGCCCGTACTGTTAAGCTAACTCATTGAACCCACAAGCATACCGTTTGTTGAAATACTTGTGATGAAAATGATTTGGTTAATTTTACTCTGTCAATGGTCTTGTACATGTTCTCCACGAGTGCCTTCGTCTGGATCTGTGAGTCAGGAATCAGTTTGGCAATCGAGTCCAGGTGGTTGTATGTCACCAAAAGCACATCTTTCGGCTGTCAATATAAAAAGAACGTTCAATTACATTTTACAGGTGCGTACCCACAGATCCGAATTCCCACACAACCTGAAAAACTTTTAAAATTTAGTTTAGTAATAAGCAACAAAACAAAATATGACTAAAAAGACTAATTAAATTCGTCACAAAATTTGGATTACTTCTATTGGAACGATTGAAACGTCCTATTTTTTCCAAACCAAGCAAACACATAATCCAATAGACTAGAAACATACATTTTTTGTGTAAAAGCTTTGCTTTCAGTGAATTACATAGCAAAAAAGTGCGACTACCTAAATAACGCTATAAATTTTTCGGCTATCCAGGAACAATTTTTTTTCAGCTATCCGGTAACTAAACGTTTTTTGACTACCCAGTAAAAAACCAAATAACAGTAGTAAATAAGTGTCTTGAGAGGGATGCTGGGAGCAGGCGTCAAAAAAGTGGACAGTAAAGAATATCTTTGCCTTTGTCGCGGTAAATTTGGTTGAAAATTAGAACTTTATAGCTTTTCGGGATATAAACAAAAGAACGATAAAATTTCGATTGTTTTAAAGCAAACACATCCTCCCTCCAATTCAGTTTTTCAATGATAGATTTTTGGCTTTGCTCGAATCGAAAATTTTGGTTATCAGAAAAACTTTCGGCTACCCGTGAAAAGCAATTCGGCTCTCCGAGGACAAAATTTTTTTTCGGCTATCCAACGAAATTTTTTATAGCTCTAATCAATACAACTCTGATTTCAGAGCTAACGGGAACTTAAGCGGTGAATTATTTTTTCTTATTTGTAAGCTCAATTAAAAACATAACACAGAGGCGAAGCTGCAGATCGTAAACACAAAATTAAGCTTCAAAAGCCAAAAATAGCTTTAAAAGGTGCAAAAAAGAAAAGAACAAAATATGAATGGCAACGAGTTTTGAGAAATAAATAACCACTACGTGATTCGAACCTCAGTATTCGGACATCTAAATTACCAAGTCGACTCATAAATTGAAGACTACATGCCAATAAACTGCGAAAACCTCGCAACAAAAGAGCCACCAAAATGAGCACTTTAACGTGCGAGTTGGGTTGAAGTAGAAAAAAGTGAACTTCGTAATATGGCACTATGCTCGCTAGCTCGGTTGAGTAAAAATCGATATAAAGCAAGCATGGACGGCACAGTGCTTCTCTTTTATTCAGGATGTCAAAACTCGAATAAACATATGCAGTTTCAGTGCCAATCTCTCACACAAACTACCCTTTTGACACTACAGCTTGAAGTTTCCCGAATTTATTTATATTGAGACACATAAAATAACAATTAAAGAGCCAGCCCGATGCCCTCATTGATCGTAGATCCCTCGTTTGGTATCTATGACCATGTCACTATTCTTGGAACTGGAAACCTTAAGTATTATCTGGCCTTCAGTTCTTTGAACACAACTGCCTTAGCAGAAACCTTCATTCGCTGACCTTAATTTATGACCTGTGCATTTATGACATTCGCACTGACCTTTGCACAGAAAGTGATTTGGTGTTTGACAGCCATGGTCATGAGGTCATACAGCTTGTCCATTGAGACTGTATTGAGTCGCATGATAGAAGTGTGAACTAACTTCTCAAAAATGATTCGGAGATTCTTCCTCGCAAACAACTCTTGAGGACGAATGATCTCCCCCAGGAACTTCACACCGTACATGCTGTTCACTATGTCACACACCACTAAACGCATTCAACAAATGACGACAAAAACCTTTTATCAGAAGTTCCATTTTTGTATCTACAAAAATGGAAGCTTTGCAAGGGAATGGACGGTGTTTTGAAGCTTGAGATTTCATACTTTCATCCATTCTAACTTTTTGCAAGTTACGTTTGACGAGATATTTTTAAGCTCCACAATATGACCTTCACAAGGAAAAACTTATCCAGTACGATTCCAGTAAAAAAATTGATCATGAAAACAGTTGTCATTTTGCGACTGACTCACCTTTATCTGCCTTCTCCTTGGCCACGTGTTGTGCGCTGAGTCTCTGAGTTAATACATACAACATCTCCCCTCCCAGATTCACGAACAGAATAGGCAGAGTGTGCATAGACATGACAAGACAAGACAGACAGCTAGACTTTTATCCAATCCAAAACAACAACAACTAATATCTGAAAAAAGGACTCAGGCATTAAAGAGAACACTTCTTTCTATACGTCCGTCATAACTTTTCGAAACATCAAATCTAGGTAAAAACATAAATTCAAATTAATTTAATAAACTTGTAATTTTGAGCTCGCCCGAAACCACCTTCGAAAGTCAACTTTTGAAAGGTTTGACAAGAAAAACATGATTTCGAAGTTGTTCCTCAAAACAAAGGCAGCTCACAAAAATTTAAAATATTCATCATAGCAAAGCTAGAACCACCTGTAAATTAATTTCATCAAGTTATAGCAGGTTTTGCCGCTACAATCTTCAAAAGGTAATCTTTTTTTCTTCAACATAAAAATGAAATTTTGATATGAAAATGTTCAATACTTCAACTGAGCTGTGAAAAGATAAAACAAAATGAAACTTTATTTTACAAACAATTCATTTGCATTACAAAACAAAGAAGGCAAACATTTCACTTGATTCAAATTAACCTTTCTACCGTACGTTTTTGCGCATACTATTCTGGTGGTCAATTGCTGTCCATATAAGCATTTACGCATCAATTGCTGTCCATATAAGCATTTAGACAGCTTGTTTGGACGAAGCTCTATTTTTGGCTTGTATAATCTCAAAAAAAAGCTGAGGTAAAATTTATACGAGTTAAGGTAAAAAAATTAAGGTTACAACGACAAAATTTCTTTTGATTATTGAGTTTTAGTGGAGCAAATCATTAGTTCATATTGGTTCAAACGATAGATTTCTTCAGCTTTGTTGATGATTTTAGCAATTGATAATGATTTTTTTTCTGATTTGAAAAGACTCTTTTTTGTTTCTGAAGTACAATCCATGGTCAAAAATTTCCTTGCAGCTCGTAGTTAAGAAATTTTAAGGGAGGAAATTATTATATCGTGGGTACCTTATTAATTGAAGCTGAACAATAAAATTTTTAAATATATTGTTTTCTACCAGGAATCATCCTATACAGTTGTTAATTGTGATGTAAATTGCAAAATGTTTGCTGCTGCCGATTAGCAAAAAATAACAGCTAGTTTTGGTTTGCTGAGAAACTTTTTTACGGCGCGTTTCGGTCGATATAGTTTTTTCTAGTAAACGATCTTCATTTTTCACGGTCTGGGGCGGTCCCAGTATTTGGCATTTTTTTGATCAATCTCCACTAAATGGATCTTTTTAGTTTCCTTGAAGCATTTCTAATAATGCTTAAAAACGATAGATCTTTTTTGTACATGCTGGTTGGGATATGTGTAAATTAGATAAACAACAATGCGGTTTCTACAGCTATTCGAATATTGCTCTCGGATTTTTCTTGATTTCATACATTTCTGATGTATGCAAAATGGTTAAATTTCCTAGACTACTTAAGGAATGGCCATAATTCTGCTATGATACTCGAATTCTTCCTGGGTAATTCAAATATTCATATTGGTTCAGATTTTTTAAATATTTTTTTCAAGTTTTTCTGCAACTGAAATGCATTTTTCTACATTTTTGACGATCTGGCTCATCTTGCTGCTTATTACTTTTTTGGACACAAATTGTCTTGATATCTCATCTTCATCTGTTAGATTTTATAAAAAATGGTCTTTAATAGTTTGAACGTTCTTCAAAACAATTGGCTTAAGAAAAAGGTATATATATTTTTGAAAATCATGCTTCATTGCAGGTTTCTACATCTTTTTCAAACATTCTACTCCATGCAAATCCTTTAAAACCAAAAAGAAGGCAACAATAGGATCCTACTTTGATTTGCTTATAATTTCTAAAACAGCATATTTTTTTGACATAAAAATTGGGTAGAAAAAAGTTTTCATTTTCAAGCCTTTGGCTGGTCCCATGAGTTAGCCTAAATTTTTAACTGTTCCTCATTGCTTTTATCTGGTTTAGATCATCGGCGAAATTTAAATTGCGATTATTTTGAATCTAATGTACAATCATAAGTTTTGTAAAACTATCATAAATTTCTATTTCTGTACTAAAGCGGATTTTGAGCTGTCTATTTTGTAAATATGCATTCTGTTTTTTTTTGATTTTTTCTATTTTCTGTTAATTGTTAGGAAACTAAGCTTCTTCAACTAGTTGAATTTGATTTTAGTACGTTCAGTAGGGCAAATTAAATCGCAACCTCATATTGGTTCAAACTGGTTGACTTTTTCAGGTTTTTTGTTGCTTGTAGCAACGGTTAATGATTTTCACCATTTTGTTTGGCAAATTGATTAATCGATTTGCTGATTTATTCTGCGTGGTCAACAAACACCCAACAATTCATCTGTTGGAGGGATCTGACATTTTGTGATTGCCTCGAAAAATTATGATTGTGAAGAGATATGTATATATATTTTTTAAAGTCAAGGAATTGCCCTTTATATACTTAAAGATGCCTAATGTTTCGCAAAGTGTTTGCTCATACCGATGAAATTTATTCGTTTCGACAAAACTTTCTAGTGTCGATATACTGTGCCGATATATTGTTTGTATTGTGCTTCAAAAATTTCTTGTTTTCTGAACACTTTGGTGTTTTTTGGTAAAAAAAACTGTCCTAAACTTGTAACCATTAACCAAGTATACAATTAAGAATACAAAAAAATTTATTGAGACGAGGTGAGACCTGATATTCGTTTCAAACTGTCCAACTTTCAGGTTTTTGGCTTTTTTAACAACTGATTTGATTTTTTTTATCATATGCTGTTGAAAAGGTCTATCTTATTGCTCAATTATACAGTTTTACTTGTAATTTTAGCTATTGAAAAAAGGTAGTTGTGAAGTATATTAAGTCCTAAAATTCAGGTAGGGCAAATAGCCCTCTTCTAAAAATTAATGCAAAATCGGTCGTCAACATGACTGGATCGATTCATGAAAGATTTTTGGGCTCATCAAGTTATGTAGGGTAGCCCACAGGTATCCATGAAAATGAAAATTCATGCGCAAAAAATTTGTTACAGCGCTACAGAAAAAACCTGTATATTTCTTTATAGAGAAGAGCTACATTGAGCCTAAATGCTTTCTAGCATAATGCAAATTAGCGCGAGTATGACTTCCAGTGGTTTCAGGCGTGTTAATAGTTTCCAACTTGTAGAAAAAACAAGACATGTTCGAAGAACAATGGGAAAGCATCATCATAAGTACCAGAGTTGACATGACATGTTGAGTAGGGTAAAACCATCTTTCTGGGAATTGATGCCAATAATGTCTTGCGCTTCGCCACATTAATTCATTGACAAAATATCAGCACATCGGGTTACCTAGGGTAGCCTACAGGTATTCGTGAGAATGAAAAAATCATGCGCTAAAATTTTGTTACAGATTGCGACAGAAAAAGCAACTTGTTTTACAGAGAGGAACTATATCGAGCTCGGATGCTTTTTGGCGTGTCGTAGATTAACGTTAAAATAATTTTTAGGGGTTTCAATGATAGGTCTTTGTACCAACTAAAAAGAAAACAAGATTCGAAAAACAAGGAAAAATCATCAAAACTACCAACCTTATTTTTTTCTATTAGTTGGAACAAAAACCTATAATTTAAACCCCTAGAATTAATAATAACGCAAGTCTGCGGTAGGCTAAAAAACATTTGGGTTCCGTTAGGTCCTGACTATAAAACAAGTATTTTATTCTGTCGCTTTCTAACAATATTCTCGCGCATGATTTTTTTTCATTTTCAAGGATACCTGTACGTTACCCTTGATGAGCTGGAAATTCGTGTATGAACCAATCTGGTTATTTTAACGACTGAATTGGCTTCAATATCCAGAAAACGCATTTTTACCGTACCTAACATGTTATTTCAACTTGATGATACTTCTGATGATTTTTCCTCTTGTTTTTCGAATCTGAGTTGACATGACCATTTAGGTAGGGCAAACGACCTTTTTCTGGAAATTGATGGCAAATCGGTCATCAGCAAGGCTTGATTGCTTTATGGTTGAACTTTAGGCTCATCAAGTTATCTAGGGTAGCGCACAGGTATTTGAAAAAAAGTCATGCGCAAAAAATTTGTTACAGCGCTACAGAAAAAACCTAAAACTTTTTTGAGGCGAAGCGCTATATTGAGACAAAATGCTTTCTATCATACTGCAGTTGAGTGCCAGCAAGTCTGGAGGTTTCTGGCTTGTTTCTTGGCTCCAACTTACATAAAGAACAAGATAAGTTCGAAAAACTAAGGGAAAATCATCAGAAGTACCAGAGTTGCCATGACATGTTAACAACTGATTTGATTTTTTTTATCATATGCTGTTGAAAAGGTCTATCTTATTGCTCAATTATACAGTTTTACTTGTAATTTTAGCTATTGAAAAAAGGTAGTTGTGAAGTATATTAAGTCCTAAAATTCAGGTAGGGCAAATAGCCCTCTTCTAAAAATTAATGCAAAATCGGTCGTCAACATGACTGGATCGATTCATGAAAGATTTTTGGGCTCATCAAGTTATGTAGGGTAGCCCACAGGTATCCATGAAAATGAAAATTCATGCGCAAAAAATTTGTTACAGCGCTACAGAAAAAACCTGTATATTTCTTTATAGAGAAGAGCTACATTGAGCCTAAATGCTTTCTAGCATAATGCAAATTAGCGCGAGTATGACTTCCAGTGGTTTCAGGCGTGTTAATAGTTTCCAACTTGTAGAAAAAACAAGACATGTTCGAAGAACAATGGGAAAGCATCATCATAAGTACCAGAGTTGACATGACATGTTGAGTAGGGTAAAACCCTCTTTCTGGGAATTGATGCCAATAATGTCTTGCGCTTCGCCACATTAATTCATTGACAAAATATCAGCACATCGGGTTACCTAGGGTAGCCTACAGGTATTCGTGAGAATGAAAAAATCATGCGCTAAAATTTTGTTACAGATTGCGACAGAAAAAGCAACTTGTTTTACAGAGAGGAACTATATCGAGCTCGGATGCTTTTTGGCGTGTCGTAGATTAACGTTAAAATAATTTTTAGGGGTTTCAATGATAGGTCTTTGTACCAACTAAAAAGAAAACAAGATTCGAAAAACAAGG